GTCATAACGCTTTCGAGGTCTTCATCACTGACCGCCTAGAACCGTCAGTAACGCTTTCGAACACTTTTCCAGTGACCGCCTAGAAGCGTCCGTAACGCTTTCGAGGTAGGCCGTCTTGACCGCCTAAACCCGGTCATAACGCTCAGAGGGTTAAAAATTCAGATAAACATTGATGGTTTAGCGAAAATAGCCAATTCCAGAATAATTAGACTGTTTTAATAGTGATAAATTAAAATGGCATTAATTGATAAATTGTATTGAAAAAAGTGCGTAATTATCTTTTGCACAAGTTGAAGGATAAAAAGTTAAAGTAGGGAGTGTGATAGAAGAAGAAGCTGATGAACCACCAAAACCATATAAAAAGGATGATGTTAATTTCGAAAATGAAATAAAAACTTGGGAAATATGGGATGATATATAACGCCATAGCAAGAAATATAATGAATCAAACTATGACAGCTCCACAAGCGTTAAAATATGCGAATGAAAAGAACGCAAAGAAGTTATGGAGAAAATCAAAATGAAATGGCGGCAAGAAAGAACAGAAGATATTCAAATCAAAATGCAGAATAGAATTAGCTCAACTTTGAAAATGAGTCAGAATGAATCAGTAGATGAATTATATGAATAGAGCTGTTAATTCTGAAAAAGTAAAAGTATTCAAGTTGGAGATGAAATAAGAGATGAAGAATTAATTTACTTCATACTAGAAGGGCTTAGAAAGGAATTTGAATTTGATGTTAAAATCATTAAAATCAATAAAGAGTAACGATCTAGCTTCAATTAGACAAGCTTTAAAAGAAACAGAAGGAAAAAATAAACAAAGAGGAAAAGAAATAGAAGTAAGTTCTAAGGCAAAAGAAAACTGGGTACAATTCGGTTTCGGGGACCGTAAAAATTGCAGCGAAAATGCATGTGCAAAAGCGCCAAATCTAGCAAATTCGCCCATTAAACAGTACGCCAAATCTTGCGAACGCGCTGATTTCAAATTGCGTAAGTTTTAGATAATTCTATATTTGTAAGTCGCCATTGAAATACTAGTTTAATTTTTTAATTCTCTTTTTGATAAAGCTATGGATTTTACAATTTGGGAATTGCCGAGTGAAGAAAAGTCTGCAATAGAATTTTTTTTTAAAAAAAGGCATCATTCATGATAAAAAATTGTGTTTGAACAATCATGAGATGAAATTATGCTTTATCGATAACTCGGGAGCAAAATGGCGGTGCAGGAAAGAAAACTGTAATGAGAAGAAAGGATTGAGAATTCAAAATTGGTTTGAAGGATCGAAAATTCCCTTCCTTACAGCCGTTAGGTTCATCTATTTTTGGTGTCAGGAAATGACATCTGTTGAATTTTGTGAACTTCAGCTCAAGATGAACCACAGTACAGTTGTAGACTGGAACAGTTACATGCGTGAGGTGTGCGCCTCAGCTTTAATTGCTCGGCCCAAGTCTAAAATTGACGGATGTGGCAAAATTATTGAAGTAGACGAAAGCCTTTTCAGTAAAAGAAAGAACAATGTTGGACGTGTTCTTCCGCCCCAATGGGTTTTTGGCGGATTATGCAGAGAATCAAATGAATGTTTCTTAGTCGCTGTTCCAGATTGATCGGCGAAAACCTTATTGAGCATCATAAAGGATAATATCGCAGAAGGAAGCGTTATTTATACTGACTTCTGGAAATCATACAAGTCAGATGAACTGCAAGATGCCGGTTTTGAACACTTTACTGTCAACCACAACTACAATTTTGTGGACCCGGAAAGTGGGTGTCATACACAAACAGAAGAACGGCTGTGGGGCAGTGCTAAATGGCGTAATAAACGCCATCGAGGCACTACTCGACAGCATTTTGATTCTTACTTGTCCGAGTTTATGTACAGACGTTTTCACAAAAAAACTGAAATTTTTTCTGCTATGTTAGAAGACATAAAAAATTTTATGCCACCCGTTTAATTGCAAGTATATTTAGCCTTTTTTTCATAAAGTAATACAAAATTGTATTATATGAAATTAACATCTCATCTAAATTAAAATAAAATAAAAATCTGAAATAGGTATTTACTAATATGTTTCCATTCAGTTATTTTAGCCTTTTTTATATAAATAATAATAATAAAAAATTGTATGATGTGAAATTAACCTTTTATCTAAATTAAAATAATGATCTGAAACAGTTATTTACTTTTATGCTTCCATGCAGTCATGTTTAGCTTTTTGATATAAATTATAAAATAAAAAAGTACTATGAAAGTAAGTTTTCATCTAATTAAAACATCAATCTTAAATAGTTATTTACTATTACACTTTCTTTCTTGCGTTAGGGTTGCCGCAATTATTTTGCAGCACTGGCATCAACAAAGTTTGGCATTTTTTACGCCTCAAAACCGAATAGTACGAAACTGGATAAAATCGAAATATGAAAGAAGATGCTTTAATTGTGGAAAATTAGGACAATTAATAAAAGAATGTCGAAATAATAATAATATTATAAAATGCTTTTGCTGTGGAAAATTCGGCCACAAATCAACTGAATGTAAAATGAAAACTAAACAAGAAACACCGACAGCAGAGAAATGTAACAAATAAAACTTATAGAATGTCAAGCAAGAAAGAGAATATGAATCAGCTACATGCTTATTTGAAGTATCCTAAGAAAATAGAAAGCACATATCTTAATCAAGATAGAAATGATGGAAAGAATAAAATAAATAAACAAGAGAATAGAAAAATTAAATGGATTATTGATTCAGGAGCCACATCTCACATGGCAACTAATAAAGAAATATTTACTCATTTTAAAGATGAAGAACGACAAATAATGACGGCTGGCTGAAAAAGGGGCCATGATCAAATCAGTTGGTATTGGTAACATTAAAATGCAAACTGATAGAAATAAGAACATCTTGAGAGTAGAAAATGTTCTGCAAGTACCGAATTTAAGTGAAAATCTGCTGTCAGTATCAAAAATTGTAGATCATGATTTAAAAGTAATTTTTATCCAAGAATAAAGCAGAAGTGATCATAAACAGGGAAACATTCTATATATAGCTAACAGAAATGGAAATAAATTTGAAGTTGAAGGAAATATTGTTGAAGAAGCTAAAATTAGTTATGTTAATGATGTACTATGGCATCAGAGACTAGGTCATATAAATTATCAAAGGCTGATAGAAATGAAAAAACACTCATCGGTCATTGGATTAGAAAATGTAAAAATTTCTGAAAACAATTGTCAACCTTATACATTAGGTAAAATAACACAAACATCTTATAAAAGTGTGAAATTTAAGCAATCTGAAGATATTTTAGAATTACGGCACATAGATTTAGTTGGACCAATTGAAGAAATCAATAGATGGAAGCTGTTATTTTTTAACAGTGGTAGATGATTACAGTAATTTCATATTTGTGATAACAATTGAGAAGAAGAGTGAAACTTTAGAAGCTCTAATCAAGCTTATCCAAGAAGAAAGACAAACGAGAAAGAAACTAAAAGGAATTCGTAGTGATAATGGTAGTGAATTTTTAGCCAAAAATATAAAAGATTTTTTTTTTTTTTTTTTTTTTGAAAAAAAAAAAATGGGAATTAAACATGAACTTACAACGCCTTATACTCCGGAAAGTAATGGAAAAAGCTGAACGTTTTAATCGTACTATAATTGAATCTGCTAGAACTATGTTAATTGATGCAGAATTACCGATAAAATTTTGGTCTGAAAGCGTTAAAGTAGCTGTACATGTGAATAACAGGAGTCACAAAAATGATAAAAGGTTTACACCATATGAACTATATAAAGGAACGCAAGCCTAACATTACTTATCTTAAAAGATTTGGATGTGAAGCATATGTTCATATAAGACGAGAAAAACGTAGAAAGATGGATCTAAAAGCTAAAAAAGGAATTATGATAGGCTATAGCATGAAGAGAAAAGCATACAAAATTTATATCCCTGAACTAAATAAAATTCAAGAAGTGAGAGATGTAAAATTTGATGAACAGAAACTTGGATCACCTTTACTAAAAGAAAATTATTTAAATTTCGATAAAAATCAAATATTAGAAGAACTTATTATTTTTTATAAGGAACAAACTAATGGAAATGTAAATAATTCAGAAATAACTGACAGATACTATAGAGAAGATAATACAACAGATGAAGAAGCTGAGAAAATTTTGCCATCCAACAGTGATGATGAACACGATGATAACAATTCATTGGAAAAGCCAACCGAGTATCCACAAATAAATGAAGAACCTGGAAATGATAGTCATGGAAATTCTGTACAGAAAAGACCAGCGCGAATTACGAAGCCCCCAGAAAAATTAAAAGATTATGTAGTATACAATACAAATGAAGGATTACCTAAGACGTATGATGAAGCTATAGAATCTGCTGAAAGTGAATTCTGGCTACAAGCAATGACAGAAGAATTGAGTTCAATGGAGGCTAATGAAGTCTGGGAATTAGTTGAAAGACCCATCGATAAGAAAGTTATTAAAAACCGCTGGATATTCTCAAAAAGGGATGAAAAGGGTAATTTAGAAACAATTTACAAAGCAAGACTAGTAGCAACCGGATTTAATCAAAGAAAAGGAATTGATTATGAAGATGGATTTAGCCCAGTAATGAGACTTGCAACCTTTAGAACATTACTATCGATTGCAGTTTACAAAAACTACAAAATAAGATTTTTCGATGTAAAAAATGCATATTTAAATGGATACTTGGATAAACCAATTTACATGGAACAACCACCTGGCTTTATATCAGATCCGAACAAAGTATATCTTGTAAACAAAAGTATATATGGATTACCACAATCAGGAAAATGCTGGTATGATGAATTATGTAAAGTTCTTAAAGAAAAGAATTTAACTAGACTAAAGTCAGATCCGTGTGTTTTGTTTATATTTATAAAGATAAGATCAAATATTTTATCATAGCAGTATATGTGGATGACTTAATGGTGATTGGAAATTCAAATTCTGAGATAAATGACATCATCTCTCAACTATCTAAATCGTTCACATTACGAGAAGTCACTCAAACACAAAAAATTTTTAGGAATAGACATCCGGCAAGAATCTGGAAAACTTATACTCAGTCAAGAAAACTATATAACTAAAATCTTAAAAAACTTTGAAATGGATGAATGTAAACCTATCAAGACTCCAGGAATATTGGGTGAAAATCTTGATGACATAGCATCTTCACCACCTGTGTCGAAGACAAAATATCAAGAAGCATTAGGTTCATTGATGTACTTAGCAACAGGCACAAGGCCAGACTTAGCTTTTGCAGTAAGTAATTTGTCAAGATATAATCAAGATCCCAGAGAGAAACACTGGAAAGCTGTAAAGAGGATATTTAGATATATTAAAGGAACACAAAATACTTGTTTAGTGTATACTTCAGACAATGGGAAATTAAATGCTACATCAGATGCAAGTTGGTGTACCACTGAAGATGGAAAATCATTTGGAGGTTATTTCATTAAATTAGGCAAAAATTTCATAAATTGGAAGTGCAACAAACAAAGAATAGTTGCTCTATCTACAATGGAAGCTGAACTTTTAGCATTCTGCGAATGTGCATGTGAAGTTAAATGGTACATCTTTTTACTTGAAGAATTGGGTCAAGATGATCTAATTGACAAACCAATAGGAATTAAAACAGACTGTCAAGCATTAATAGATTGGATTAAAAAAACCAAAACAAAGTAGCAGTTCAAGGCACATTAATAGAAAATATTTCTTTGTTAAGGATGAATATGAAATGAATCAAATCATTCCTCAGTTTGTGTGTTCACAAAATCAAGAAGCGGATATTTTAACAAAGTATCTACCTAGGGTGAAATTAAAAGATGAACTATTAAAGTATGGACATGACTGACTGATTAAAATTATATCTTTAAATACAAATAAGGGGGGAATTGATAGTATTTGTTTATAAAGCATAATTTTAAGTTTTAATATTTTGGCAACATTGATATTAAATTGTAAAAAGAATGAGTTAAAAATGTATCTGGAATTGAGAGAGTTTTTGATTATTATGGTTTGGTAGAATGTGGTAAGATTTCTTATGTCTGATTTTCTTTAATAAAGTTTCTTTTTGTATATTGCCATAATGTATTTTTGTTAGAAGTGGATGATTCTTCTGAGAATGTTATATATATGTCAATCTTAAATAACCAACATCTCTCAGTGTCTTTGAATGGGGACGCCATTTTGAGAAAAGCGGACGATCCCATCTTGGAAGAACGAGAAATGACCGCTTACCACGCCTCTTACTCTGTTTGAATGGGGAAGCCATTTTTGGAACTTTGGAAGTCTGCACCCCGCTGTTTCTGAATTCGGAAAGCCATTTTGGGAAAAACGGACCCTCTGATCTTGAAGAATTGGGAAATGAATGCTCTACACGATCTCTCTCTTTGAATTTAGAAGGTATTTCGGGACCTTCTAACCTTGGAGAATGGAAATAAACACTCTATATACCCTCTCTCTCTTTGAATTGGGTAGCCATTTTGGAGGGTTCCCCCCACCCTAACCTTGGAAAACTGGATCTGAACGCTCTACGCGATCTCTCTCTCTTTGAAATGGGTAACCATTTTGAGACTCCCTAACTTTGGAAAAAATGAAATGAACGCTCTACACAATTTCTCTTTGAAATGGGTCATCATTTTGCGACGCCTTCCCCCCCAAAAAAAAACTTGGAGAAAAACTGAAATGAATGCTCTACACAATCTCTCTTTTGAAATGGGTAAGCCATTGTAGGATCCTCCCCCTTCTAAAGTTGGAGAATGGAAATGAACGCTCTACACCCTCTCTCTTTGAAATGAGTAGCCATTGTGAGACTCTCCCATCTTGGAAAAGTGAAACTGAACGCTCTACACCCTCTTTCTTTGAATTGAGTAGCCATTGTGAGACTCTCCCATCTTGGAAAACTGAAAATGAACGCTCTACATCTTCTCTCTTTGAATTGGGTAGTCATTTTGGGATCCTCTCATCTTAGAAAAACGGAAATGAACGCTCTACACCTTCTCTCTCTGAATTGAGAAGTCATCAAGACTGATATATATAATATTTTTTTATTGTTATCATGATCATCTTACAATTTGTTACAAAAAAAATTTTTTTTACAATATTTCCGATGTTATTTGAGAAATGCAATTCCGTAACAGTTCAATTTCATCTGAGGATAACTGATCTAAACAATCTTTGACCCACCCATCCGTATTAATTTCTTCTCCTTCCTGGATCCATCAAATTTTGTAAGTCCATATAATCCTTCCATACGGGAAGGGCTAGATCCTACCCAGGTTGTCTTGAAACTCTTGGAGTTTGGGATGAGTGGGGGGATCCACGATATCTGGACCAGGCTGAGATTCTGCCTCCATGACCTCTGGACACGTTGGAGCTTTTGGACCCGGCTGAAATTCTACCTCCATGACCTTTGGAACATGTTGGAACACCTGGACTCGGCTGAAGTTTTACTTCCTCCATGATCTCTGGACACGTTGGAGAAGAAGAAGAAGAAGAGCATTTTGGAAGAGGTTCTGGACACGTCTGAGAGAAGTCCGAAGGAGGCTGCCTGTCTGAACTCGTCTGAGGGGAAGAAGAAGAAGAGGATTCCAGGTTCCTGAATGAATCTTCCCCGCCAGGCATGTTACGTTAAGTCGACCGTTTTTTAATCGGTAATTTTTTTCTTTTCTTCTTCCTCCTCCTCCTCATCTTCGATGGTGATGACTTCGATTTCTTTCCGTTGACTCGTTCCGGGCCAGGATGGTTCGATCCATCTCCGCTTATCATTTAAAGAAGGGATGGGAGAAAGTGGCCGTGGGTTCTTCTCCTCTTGAAACGTCATCGGCGTTTGGAAAGGAATCTCCTTTTCTATTTGTTTCCAAAGCGTCCACGGGCATCGATCCACGAGAAAGAGGCTCTTCTGGGTCGTGAGGATGAGGTAGCACGTTTTCGGAGGGATGACATAGTTTTGGAAAGGTCTTAAAATATCTTTCTTAAATTTCGTCCTGTCGGCGACGTTAAAACTTCTTTCCTGGAGATGGGACGACGAGGATTCGTAATAGACGAGGGGGGAGGCTGTGGTCTGAACAATATGCACTTCGTCCAAAGCCGTCGTTCTCACTCCAAACGTAAAATATCTTTTCGTGAGAAAAATATTCCTCCATCGAAAACTCATGCGCGGATCCGTATATCTCCGATCTGTTTGAATAGGCCGTCTCAAAGCTCGATCCACCGGTTCCAAGAGATGGGAGATTCCTCTTTCGTTTGTTGAGATTCGAATAAATTCCTATACAGGTTTCTGAACGAGCAGGTCGGAGGATTCGACATCCTGCTTGAATGAGACAATGGCTTGATTAGTGGGTAGATGTGGAATAAATTTCGCACAGTGACATGCCAGAAAGATTTTCAGGTTTGTGATTTGCGTGAGCGACTTCAAATCCTCTACACCCGAAATCGGTTGAGTTGGAAAAACATCGAACAGCGACATGGCTCCTAATGGAATAAAAATGAATCTCGCTCAGTGCTCTCGCCTTTTTATATACACACAGAGTCTCTATGACGTCATAGTTTCATTCATTTTCTTCTTTATATATCTATCTTTTCCAAGAAATGCTATCGCCCTGACATATTTTTTTTTGAGTGGGTTGGAATGCGGAAGTGAAAGTTATCATGAACCAATCATGACCTTCCTATTTTTTTCAGTTACCCTTTCTATTCCAAGGACGCCCAGAGATATAGAGAGGAAAAAGAAAGAGGAAGGGGGATCTCTCTCTTTCTATATATATATATAAATAGAAAAAGAGAGCCATTTTTTTATATTCAACATATATATATTTTTTTATATTAAAAATTTTCAATTTTCCTTTTATATCATCCAAGGAGTCATTTACTTGAAACCCTCCGATTTTTCAAAATGTGCGGGATATCATATCGTGGGGAGCTACCACAAGATGCGGGACCCATTTCTGGCCGACGAAAAAGTTTTCACGGCACGTGAAATTTCAACTTTGGATTCACAAATATTGTCGATGAAAGGAGCTAAATATCATTACATGTCTACCTTTCTAACCTCCCGCAAATGAACAATATCATGAATTGTCTTGAGAACAAAAAGGGGATTCTCGTTCATTTTAGCGAGTGGTTGCAAAAATTTCTGCACGAAACTCTACCGATCGTTAGGACTGGAAAGAATCCATATTATATTCTTGAGGACAATCATCTGAACGAGACCACGACTTTTCAAAAAATTATCGAGCAAAAAAAGATAGAATGGTTGAAAAGCTACCCCATTTCTCTCAAAGATGATGAGGACGAGGCGGGGAGCCTGTTCAGAAGAAGAAAAATTCTTTCTGGAAAAGTCTATCCTCATCCATGAGGACGAGGAGACGAAGGAGTCTGTTCGGATTCCTCTCCTTCCTTTGTCAAAACCCCTCGAGGATGAAAATTCAATCCCTTTGTCAAAACTCCTCGAGGATGAAAAACCTCTTCATTTATGAAGACCCCTCGAGAATGAAGAAGGATCTGTCCTCCCCTTGTCAAGACCTCTCGAAGAGGAGGAACCTCTCGATTTGTCAAGACTCTCCGAGGATAAGGGAATCGAAACTTCTCTCCCTTTGTCAAGACCCATCGAGGAGGAGAGGACCGCTCAATATCTCAAGACAGGATTCTCCTATATCTCTTGAGGATCCGAGAGAAACCATTCCTACTGAAAAACAATGTAGGGACGATCCTCAGAAAAGACCCTCTGATGAGACTAGGCTTCTATTCAAGAAACGACTCTGCAATATGACACCCTCTCCTTCTCAACAGGATCCTAGAGAATTTGCAGATAAATGCATTCAAACCAATCCCTTTATAGTAACCCTTTTGATTGGAGAACCTATGCTTTAGCTTCGGAAAAAAATGAGATTCCACAATGTTTCTATGACAGTTTGGGAAAAAGGAGGAGATGAGGAGTAAAAAACTTGTGCAAATCAATGGGTATGTCTGGCTCAAAATGAAAAAAAATAAATAACCGAAAGACTGTTCTTAAAAAGCGGCGCTGTCTTGTCAATCGAAAATCGAGTCGGCTGGGAAACATTTCTGAGAGCTGGAAAAAAATTTCTCTGGCTCAAATAAAAAAAAACCTTTTTGTTAATTTTTATAATGCCTTTAGACATTATGAAAATTAACTCTACCACCCTTTTTCTCTGGGAATGACGCCTCATCCTTTCTAAAAATAGAATGAGTCATTTCTTTCTTGGAAATCTGATTTAGAAGCATGTTGAAACGTGTGGAGACATGATTCGAACCAAATAAGGGGGGTAGAGTTAATTTTTATAATGTCTAAAGACATTATATAAATTAACAAAAAGTTCTTTTTAATAACTCTGGGCCAGAAATATTTTTTCTCGGCTCTCAGAAATTTTTCCCAGCCGACTCGATCGACAAGATATCACCATTTTATTTTTTTAAAATGAACTCTACCTAATCTATTTAAGAATTCCAAGTTTCGCTTCCAAACCATCCATGCTGTTGAAGAGGTCATGTTATATTTTTTAGAAGTTCTGTCAACATTGAATTGTGCAGGATCCATCTTGCGAATTTCTTCTCTGTGTCTTTAAATAATAATGATACGAACCGCTTTTTGTAGAGCGCAATGGAAAAACCTTTTATATGGTTAGGACAGTTCATGCGTCCCTCCCATGTATTTGAGAATCTCT